GGGAGCGCAGGTGCCGCCGCACAAGCCTGGGGTTATTTATTCATTTTTTAAGGTTTTTGTCGTGGGGCTCTTGTGCTTGCCTACACCACAATTCCTTCTTTTCCATTCTCCTTCTGGGATTTGGGGCACACGTGCACATGTACCTGGTGTGATTTTCAATCCACCAGGTCCAGGATTCGAACCATAATGTGGGAGTCCAGCGCCTTAACTACTACGCCACAGGCTGGGCCCATCATTTTACTCTCAGTGAAATCTTTTGTGATCAAGAATTCTACATTGTGGGGCTGGCCGGTGGCGTGGTGGTTAAGGGTGCTGGACTCCCACATGGCCAACGGTGTTTTGAGTCCCGGACCTGGTGGCTTGCTTTCTCACCCCCGCCCCCATTCTTGTTCTACCCCTCTTTGGTCAAATTAAAAAAAATAAAGTTAAATATTTAAAAGAAAGAAAGAAAGAAAAAAGAATTCTACATTGTAGCGTGCTGTAGTTATTACCCCTCCTTTACTGCTGGTGCTCTCCACGCCCTGTCTGTGACGTCCTTCCCTACTCTGAGCGCTCACGGTGTGGTTGATAACCCCCCTGGCACTGGTTTCTGTGTGTGCTGATGCTTTTTCTTGAACAATACCCAGTTGTCTTGTACCAGTACCAAGAAGGCCCCTTCTGCTCTGCCTTGTCACCTTTGTCATAAGCCAAGGTGACTTGGCTCCATTGATCTCTGCTTGTCTGTGCCCCAGTGACACGCCACCTTCGGTTCTGGAGCTTTATCACAAATCGTGATGTCTAGTAGAGCAAGTCCCTGTACATTGTTACCCCATCCCCAAAAATCCTATGGGGATTTTGACTTGGGTTGCCTTTATTTTTAAAATTTTTATTTTTAAAGAATTATTTAAAATTTTTTGGAGCGATTTTTGCTATAGGGTATGTGCACCCACTGGAGAGACAGAGACAGACAGAACGTGAGAAATCAACCCCTGGGGGTGGGGGGGAATGGCCATGCCACAGTCCCTTCTCCTCCATTTTCCTTTCGGGATCTTGGGCACACATGCACATGTACCCAGCGTGAGTTTAAGCCACTAGGTCTGGGACTCGAACCGTGGTCGACTACATGTTACATGGGAGTCCAGCGACATAGCCGTTGTACCAACTATTGGTCCCCCTATTTTTTAATTTGCTATAGGGCTCATGGCTTTACGAGAGAGAGAGAGAGAGAGAGAGAGAGAGAGAGAGAGAGAGAGAGAGAGAGGAGAAAGCCACCAAGTCCGGACCTAGAACTGCTGTTGGCCACGTGGTAGTCCAGCACCTTAACCACCACACCTACTGGTCCCAGTATTGCCTTTAATCTTTAGGTCAGTTCAGAAAGAGAATTAAAAAGAAAAATTATTTAACTTTATTTATTATTATCATTTTCCAGTTTGATCAGAGAGAGGCAGAGGGAGAAAGAGAGAGAGAAAGGGAAAGTGAGAAGCCAAGCCACCAGGTCCGGGAATCGAACCGCAGTCAACCATGTGGGAGTCCAGGACCCTGAACCACCATGCCACCTGCTGGGCCCCAAGAGAATTAAAATCTTTATATTAGGTCATCTGGAAAATGCTGATGTGTTTCGATCTGTGAACATACTCTTTCCATTTGTTTGGCCAGTCTTCGATTTCTCTCAGTAACATTTGTGTTGTTTTGAGTAGAGATTCTGCTTCTTTGTTGGATTTATTTGCATAAAATGTATTTAAAGAATGCCAGCAGGTGGCATGGTGGTTAAGGCACTCCACTCCTAGAATCTTGGACCTGGTGACGAAACTCAGGTTAAATGTGTGTGCATGTGTGCCCAAAATCCCAGGCGGGGAGTGGGGGGGGAGGGATTGTGACATGATCATCCTTTCTGAGGGTGATTTCTCACTATTCCTGTCACTGCCTTTCTCTCTCTGTCCAAAAAAAAAAATGGAAAGAACACTATTCTTGTTACTTTAAAATTTTTATTTCTAACTACTATATGTTAGTTTATACTAACTCTTTTTAAAGAGTTATTGGGACCAGCAGTTAGCGTAATGGCTATGTCGCGGGACTCCCACGTAGTCGGCCACGGTTCGTGTCCCGGACCCGGTGGCT